ATCCACAGATTCGGTAGAATCTGGCGCCAAGTTCCGTTCAAATCCGTTGTCAACGGAGCGCCAGACTCCTTTGGTGTGCGTCATATTGTGTATTTCGATTTTTTTTAAGTCCTAGTAAATAGATTTTACGAGTTTAATTAAAAGTAAAATATTTCGCAACAACGCATACTAAATACGTTCCAAAATTGTTTTTTTTATTTTTAAATTACTGCAAAATTTTTTTTAATTTCCGAAAATCATGAACAATCATATCGGTTACTTGGATTTTTTAATTTTTTTATTTTATATCTTTTTGTAAAGAAAAAAACTAATTTTTTTTTCTTAATAGTCTTATGAACGTGGACTTGGCGCGATTTTTTTACAGTGAAACTGTTTTTGTTCGGATTTTAAAATAACAAAAGTATTTCTACGTATTATTTTTTTATAGACATTCTTTACACTATAAGGGTACTTGGATCTCTTTAAACAAAAAAATAAATTACCAATGCATTAAAAAATAGAGGCAATGTATAACAATAAAGTGATAATTAAAATAAAGCAACGTTAGGAATAAATAAAAAAAAAATGAAAAGGCCATTTGAGAACGGTACACTGTAATAAAGATAAAATAAAAAGTTGTTGATGATAAATGTCTTTTTTAACAACTTCATGAACTACTTCATTAAACGTCGGTTACTGGAAGTTTATTCCCAGATATTACCAGCTTCTGGGTTCGAGTTACCCGTCGGCAATGCGCAATGTGAGCATAAGGAAAATTATTCATTTTACTTTACACAAACCAAAAGCTCAAGCTTGACAACTCGACATCTACATCCTATCCCGCTACACACTTAACAAATAGCCCGCCCAACTAATAAACCGGCTTACCAACTTATATACCGACTTAATTACAAATGAAAGTATTTATTAAACGTCTACGTCGAGAACATTGTCAAACTTTGGTTAATCCGAACAACTACTCACCGTTAACAATTGTTTCGTTGTTTGGCCGCGTCCAGTAGACAATGGGCCGGGGGTAAGCCTCACTGTGGCACTCCAGCACTAATGTTTGCCCCTCGTAAGCTCCTATCAGCTGGTTTTCGATCCAAATCATCGGCGCGACTGTTTTATTAATATTTCAAAAATTAACTTTTAGAATTTTTATCATTGTTAATTATTCATGTTTATTTTAATTATACAATAGCTTAAATAGCTTTTAATTATACAATAGCTCCACAAGAGGTTTCAAGATAATGAAAGTCACTTTTTATCAAAGTTGTAAATTATTTATTTGTATATTTTATTAACTATTTTATTTTTTCAATGGATATTTTTATTAAATATTAATGTAATTTTTTTTTAACCAAAAATAATACTTTGAATAGCAACCTTGCAGTCATTGAGTGGCTGCCGTGACTAGTGAACTATAAATGAATAAAATTTTGGTTCATTAAGTAATGACTTTTGTTAAATTGCACTGCACTTTCTTAAATATTGACGATTTTACAGATATAAGCTCATTCCGATGTTACACTCATCGAGACCTTTCATTTGAGTACCCACATCCATTTTTGATATATTTTTCATATATACATATATATAATATATATAAATATATAAAATATATGAAAAATTTATGTGGCTACTCAAATAAAAGGTCTTGCTAAGTGTCACATCAGGATGAGCTTATATCTTCAAAAATGTCAATAGTTCTCAAGATACAAGGTCATTTCTTAATTACTGACGTTTTTGAAGATAAACTCATCCCGATGTTACACTCATCAAGAAATTTCATTTGAATACCCACATGCATTTTTGATATATTTTTCATATATACATATATATAATATATATAAATATATGAAAAATTGATGTGGCTACTCAAATGAAACGTCTCAATGAGTGTAACATCGGGATGAGCTTATATCTTTAAAAATGTCAATATTTCACAAGATACAAGGTCATTTCTTAATTATGTATCTAGTGTTTTCTAATGCAGCCTAAATACCAATAATAAATTGCCTATCGGTGAGGATAATATGAAACCTTGAAAAGGCACAAATTCAATTAAAGACCTTTGAAATGACAATAAATATCACTAAAAAAACCGATTTAATCATACGTCTATCCCAGACATAAAATTTTTCTTATTTTCTTAATAGTATAGATTTATTAAATAAAATTTTTCCACAACTCTGATTTTTTAAAAATTGTTCTAATTTATTATTAAAAATGACTGTAATTTCGCAAATCAATCGACTGTTAAAAATTTTTCAAACCGAGAATAAATCATTAAAAGAAAAAAAGAAAATTTCGAAACAAATGGGTACAAGTTCTCGTAGCAATTTATAGACTTACAATGAACGATGAGGACTATTCGTTTACTAACAGTTGGTGGTACGCCGTTAGAAGCAATACAGAGGTAGGGACCCATGTGCAGACGAGTGACTCGCGTCAATGTTAGCTCGGGACCCTCTAGAACAGGAACTGTAATATTTATACCCGTATATATTTTAAATAAATAATTTCCATTGAAGTGAGCAAAAGCTCCAGAGTTTTAGTAAGAAAGTAAAATAAGTACCTTCGTGCCAATTGGAAAGTGTGATCATCCCTCCGGCTTCCCTCCGCCAGGTGACAGTCGGCTCAGGAGTTCCTGTAGCAGCGCATCTTAACGTGACATTGCTTCCCTCCCGAACGACCATGTCCGTGCTTGTAGGGTAGTCCAGTATGTCCGGAGGTACTAAAACCCAGTAATTCTCAAAATTATAATTACAGTAATAGATGTTACCGTTGGTTTTAATATTTATGGTTCCATTAGCAGCTCAGATAAATCCTTTGGATATTTTGTAGTTTTGGTTATTCATAATCATTCATAACTATGTAAAGGATTTAACTGGTAAGCAAAATGGCTTACGGGTAAATGTTAGAGTGTATTGATGTATTGATGATTCGTGAATGAGTAGACATAAAACAATTTGAATTTCATGCTAACACGATTCCCAGTAATAAATAGTCGATAACACGGATTTTTATTGTTGGTTTTATTTTATGTCTGTTTGAAATCCTGTCAATCCCCCGCGAGCCCGATAGACAGACAGAGATACTGATAGTATTATATACGCCTGGAGCAATTAATTTTCTATGATATACCGAGTGTAAACACTTTTCATTTTCGACTGTTATTGAATATTCAATCGATACTCAATAAACTTCACTGAAATCGGCTACCAGGCTTACTATTTTTAATCCAAAGTTTACATTTCGATGATTATACTCGATTTTCAATTATTTTTCTGTTTGATTATTTAAATACAGTGCTTTTTCGATGAATTCAGTGTAAAATTTTGTAATTTAAATTATTTTACCATAATTTACACGTATTTTAACCGCCTACATCCCCACTACGCCTCTTAGCTCCGCCCTTTAGCAACAGTTGCCTAGAAACTGGGACTAAGCTCCGCCCCTTAGCAACCGTTGCCTAGCAACCGCAGCTTAGCTCCACCTACTATCAAAAAAACATCACAAATCTCGCTGGAACTTTTTATTTAGATAAAAAAGTCCATTTTTATAACCTACTTTCATTATTACACTGCATTAAATATGCAATTGATTAAAGTAACAAGTCTTAGCCGGCATAAAGGTAATTAAAATGCATAAAGTAAAATATTTAATTTCATAAATAGAGCACTAGGAAAAAAGTATTTTTTATTGGACGAAAAATTAATTTACACGTATTTCAACCGCATACATCTCTACTGCGCTTCTTAGCTCCGCCCCTTGGCGACAGTTGCCTAGAAACTAGGACTAAGCTCTACCCCTTAGCAACAGTTGCATAGCAACCGCAGCATAGCTCCGCCTATTTGCAAAAAAACGTCACAAATTCTGCTGGATCTTTTTATTTAGATAGGTATGAAAATTCTTCATACTAGGAAGGTACTTTGGATCTCCTTAAGAGAAAAATAAAAAGATTTGATTCAAATAAAAAAATTTATAAGAAATAATCTTGAAAATTAACCAATTTTACCTTTTTTTATTTCAAAATTCGATTTTAATTTTTTTTAGCAGCATTCAAAACAATTTTTAAAATACAATAAACAAAAGTTATTTAAAAAAAAACTGAAGAAAAATTTTTAAATAAAAAAAATTGAAAAGATTAAACGAAAGATTTGACCTCGAATACCATCAGGAAATAATTATTAAAAATATCAAGTGTAACTAATACGACTAAAGTCCTCCTTCTTCACTCCGATAGCTGGGTAGGGGCTTATCGTTGAGGAAAGATCTTGCGTTTAACGGTAACTGGTAGATAGAGACGTGCGTTATATAGAAAACCGCCCTCACTTACAGGCCAGTATTTGATGCAAATGTATGCAAAGTATATGATAGAGCTCTATTGGCCGATTGCACACTTTCAGAGCCATTAAACGACCTCCGTATCACGGACCTCGTACTTCATAATAAAAAGTGTTTAATTTTAATAATAATAATAAAAAAAAACTGTCTCAATAACGTGTAACAAATAACGGTACGAGTGTTTTCAATGTGGTTCGCGATTAATTCAAAAAAACGCAACACAAAAGACAATTACTTTTTTTATCATAGCTGACATTAAAGCCGGTGTGACATGGTCCAATTCGAGATGAATGAATGGCACCCATGCGATAACGCACACTGTTACTCTGGGCATTGTGATATCCATATACATAAGAGTGTATTACCTAACAAAATCGAATTGCAATCGTGATAACTTTTCATACACACTGCGGCCATTCTTCATTATTCTTTACTCACTTTCGGTTTATTTTATTCATTTTTTGTTCAACAAAAATTACTTTATTCCAAGTGCTCCATTTATGGAATTAAATATTTTACTTTATGCATTTTAATTACCTTTATGCCCGCTAAAACTTTTAGCTTCAATCAATTACATATTTAATGCAGTGTAATGAAAGTAGGTTACAAAAATGGACTTTTTTATCTAAATAAAAAAATCCAGCGGGATTTGTGGGGTTTTTTTAGAGAGTAGGCGGAGCTATAGTGCGGTTGCTAGGTAATGGTTGCTAAGGGGCGGAGCTAATTCCCAGTTGCTAGGCAACTGTTGCTAAGGGGCGGAGCTAAGATAAAGTTTGACTACTTCGCGCGTCAATTTTCGGGAAATAAGTTTATTTTGAGTAACAAAAATATTTATAAAGTGTAATTAGAGTTCTCTTAAAAATTTTTAAACTTCAATAAAATTTCTTTGTTCTTTTTTAAAGAGCATTAAATACTAAAGACATAAAAGTGTGTTAAAATAACATATTAAACTTGAAAGCTTCCTTATTAAATGTTTTTTGTTAAAAAATATTTAAAATAGAAATTGGAAGAAATTTTTTACGAATTTTTTGAGATAACTTTTGAAATTTTGAATCAATTGATTTAAAATCTTTTAAACACTTATTGTATTTTAAAAATTGCATTAAATGCTGTTTAAAAAATTTTAATCGAATCACAAGTTAAAAAAAAATTGAACTTTAAAAATTTATTTCAAATTTTTAATTAAAAAAATTTATTTTGAGCCAAAAAAATATTTATAAAAAATAATTAGAGCCTTTTTAAAAATTTTCTTCAATAAAATTTTTTTGTTCTACTTGAAAGAGCATTAAATACTAAAGACATAAAAGTGTGTTAAAATAATAGATTAAACTTGAAATTTACTTACTAAATGTTTTCTTTTTTAAAATGTTCAAAATAGAAATTGGAAAAAAATTATTATGTTTTAAAAATTGCATTAAATGCTAGCAAAAAAATTCAAATCGAAAAATTGTATCCAAAAAAATTTAATCTTGGGTCAAAAAAATATTTATAAAAAGTAATGAAAGCTCTCTTAAAAATTTATAAACTTCAATAAAATTTCTTTGTTTTTTTTTAAAGAGCATTAAATACTAAAGGCATAAAAGTGTGTTAAAATAACAGATTAAACTAGAAAGCAATTACTTATTAAATGTTTTTTGTTGAGGAAAGGGAGGAAGATAGTTAATGTAACAGAGGACTATTTGTACGGCTTTCAGAATGATTAATATGAATAATAGATCAGCCGTGGACTGCCGGAGTAAGACATTAGAGAGTATAGAGTGTAGAGTAGAGAGTATAGCCTCGGTGTGCATGGTGTTGACCTGATTACCAGACAAAGTAATAAGAGCATAAGGGTTTAATTAAATTAAAAAGGTGTCAAGTGTGTCAGATAAGACTTGGGTATTAAAAATTCATGAACAAAGTAATGAAGTAATGACAATTATTATAAACTTACCGACAACTTCTAAAAACCCGGTGTTGCTGGACATCGGGTCGGTGTTAACCTGGCACATGTACCACCCCCGGTCGGTCTCGCGTGTCTCTCTTATGTGGAGGGACCACGTGCGGTGACCACTGTGCGTTACGACAATACGGTGATTCTTGGTGATAACGTGACTGGCAATCGTTAAGATGGTCTGCGTGTCGACGCGAAGCCACGCCACCTGCAAAAGTCCCAGACAGATTTTATTATTTATATATTTATATGTATACATATATATATAAAAGGATAAAACGTTTTGCCGAATAAAATGCTCACACATTTTCATATTATCCGAACAATTTACTCCTCCGGAAACCGAAACCGAAAGTACTTTTTTTTTTCTTTAAAAGCTTTTGAATTGCTAAAAAAATATTTTGTAAAAAAAATCAGATTTTTTGATAAAAAGTTAAAAAAAATAATGTTAGTTAAAATTTATTAAAAAATGACAATTGTTAAAAATAAATTTATCAAAACAGTTGTGAGGTCGTTTGATAAATTATAATTCGGGTGGTTAATTTTGACGGGGAACTTTTCAAATGGCAGAACTTTGAGATAATCGAAATTGCTTATCAGTAGTCTATGATAACACTAGGAATTAACTTGACTCCTGCTCAACTCTGAGCGGGTCTAGTCTGTATTTGCGGGCTGGCTTTGGTTGTTCTATCAATTATAATATAGTTCAACCTAGTAATCAAAATATGTATTTTGAATTTCTATAATATTTTGGCGGAAAAAAAAAATTATATTTAACATTGACATATTTAGATTCACACTTTTCAGAATAAAAATTACATTTAAAAAGTACTAGCAACCTTGCAGTCACTGTGCGACTTCCGTGACTTGTGAAGTATAAATAAATAAAATTTTGCTTTATTAAATATTGACTTTTGTTAAATTGCACTGTACTTTCTTAAATATTGACGTTTTTAAAGATGTAAGCTCATCTTGGTGTTACAATCATCAAGAGCTTTCATTTGAATACCCACATGCATTTTTTATATATTTTTCATATATACATATATATAATATATACAAATATATAAGATATATAAAAAATTGATGTGGGTACTTAAATGAAAGGTCTCGATGAGTGTAACATCGGAATGAGCTTATATCTTTAAAAATGTCATTAGTTTACAAGATAC